TCTGTATCTTAGTTTAGTTAATACATTAACCTTCTGTATCTTAGTTTACTTAATACATTAACCTTCTGTATCTTAGTTTACTTAATACATTAACCTTCTGTATCTTAGTTTACTTAATACATAAGCACTTATTTCTGTATTCTTGGTTTTATTCATGAAGTCCGCTATCGCTCACCTGGAACCGTGACCTTAAGGTTATGACACCTTTCTAACTGTCGCCAGTCTAGATTGTCTTTTCATTAGTCTTTGGGTTTCGGTTTGGTTTGAATTTCGCGCAAAGCTACACGAGGGCTATCTGCTTTAGCAGTGAAAGACTAGAGGAAAGGCAGCTAGTCATCACTACCCACCGCCAACTCTTGGGCTACTCTTTTACCAACGAATAGTGGGATTGACCGTCACATTATAACGCCCCCACGGCTGAAAGGGCGAGCATGTTTGGTGGGACGGGGATTCGAACCTCAGACCTGGTAGCAGGAGATTTGTATATCAATAAACGTGGTAGTAGGAGATTTGTCTATCAATAAACCTGGTAGTAGGATATTTGTCTATCAATAAACGTGGTAGTAGGAGATTTGTCTATCAATAAACGTGGTAGTAGGAGATTTGTCTATCAATAAACGTGGTAGTAGGAGATTTGTCTATCAATAAACGTGGTAGTAGGAGATTTGTCTATCAATAAACGTGGTAGTAGGAGATTTGTCTATCAATAAACGTGGTAGTAGGAGATTTGTCTATCAATAAACCTGGTAGTAGGAGATTTGTCTATCAATAAACGTGCCAGTGAAATAGTTAAGTATTATTTACAGTATGTATAACTACATAACCAAAAGTTACATTACCCATATAAGGTCGTGTACTACACCTGATTGTTACATATAAGCTCGTGGACTACACCTGTTTGTTACATATAAGGTGGTGGAATACATCTATTTGTTACAAATAAGGTGGTGGACTACACCTGTTTGTTACATATAAGGTCGTTGACTACACCTGTTTGTTACATATAAGGTCGTGGACTACACCTGTTTGTTACATATGAGGTCGTGGACTACACCTATTTGTTACATCACCCATATAAGGTCGTGGACTACACCTGTTTGTTACATATAAGGTCGTGGACTACACCTGTTTGTTACATATAAGGTCGTGGACTACACCTATTTGTTACATATAAGGTCGTTGACTACACCTGTTTGTTACATATAAGGTCGTGGACTACACCTGTTTGTTACATATAAGGTCGTGGACTACACCTATTTGCGAACATACTACATTATCATCCAGCGAGATTACCAATATTTTCTATTGAAAGTCCGTATTTTAGACAGTACAGTAAACAGACTGCATGGCATGTTGGCGGTGATCGCTCGGGTGCTCTTCTCGTGCATTGAAATGACTTTAGTTCACACTTTCACTCTGAATGTTTTCATGCGTCTCTGTTAAGTTTGTTTATATCGATGTTAGTTTTCACCACTGTATGAAGAATAAGTTTCTGTTAACTGATAATCAGTGAAATAGTTATATATTTTCAGTCTTTCTGATAATCAATGAAACAGTTGTATATTTTCAGTCTTTCTGATAATCAATGAAATAGTTGTATATTTTCAGTCTTTCTGATAATCAATGAAACAGTTGTATACTTTAGCCTTTCTGATAATCAATGAAATAGTTGTATATTTTCAGTCTTTCTGATAATCAATGAAATAGTTGTATATTTTCAGTCTTTCTGATAATCAATGAAATAGTTCTATATTTTCAGTCTTTCTGATAATCAGTGAAGTAGTTACCGACTTTCTTCTGAATTTCCATTTATAATTTTTTTTTTTTTCACTTTTGGAACCTACATCGAAGTAATAATTGCCACTCTGTTTTTTCAGGTGCTGAATATGTTGAATTCCAGCGTCCCGTCTAGCACTCCGTCCCACCCGTCGGTCAACGCTGGAGAGTACGCAGTTCATCATCATCCTGGGTCGGTCGGATCTGCTTCCATGGCGACCGGAGTCTCTTCCGATGAGACCGCTGCCAGCTGGAACAGCAGCGCCGCTCTTCACAGCCGGGTACCCGCAGCCATGAACGGCTGGGGACCTCACACCCACACGGCCACCGGCGCCGATGCCCTCGGTCACGGGAACGCGGAACCAGCATTCGGTGGTGGGATGCTCTCCCACAGTGGGGAACACTTCATGTCCCCAACCTTCAACGGAATGCCACACTACCACGCCGGCATGGATCTCAAGCACTCCTTCTACTACACCGGTCAGTTTACCACGGGAATCCGAGGCCTCACGATATGACGTCATACTAACTGCGATGTCAGCTTATCGGCACCCAAATACGGCAAAACGAAGCATTCGTTATGCTATAGATATTTTGTCCCGGATAGATACATTTCAAAATGATAGGTGACGTCAGGCTTCGTTAAAAATGTCGTCATAAAACGTAAATCAATTTGAAAGCAACTTATATTTTGTCTTCACAGACAACAGGTGGAGTTAGTTGTTGTTCACAATATTATATGTTTTTGTTTAGTAAACATTTGAACACAATATCTATATGTACTGCAATCGGGGATTGTTAGGGGGAAAAATGCCACCCATCTTCGAAAATTATCTGAATATTAAAAAAAAAGATCAATTAAAGAAGTTTTCAGATGTTATTAATAACACAGGCCTGCGAAGTTAAACTTCATGGCAGTTGCTTTGGTTTTAATAACCGATTTTCTATGATTCAGCTACGCAGATTTCGAAAATAATATTCCTTTTTTTTTGGCTATCACTTAAGGATTTTTTTTACAAATCTGGAAGGAAATAAAACTCTTACTTAGATCAAATTAATTATTTCGTTAACCACAATGAACATTTTTTATTATTATGTTTGTTAACAACAAATACAAACAAACTGAAGAAAAGGGAAGAACACTGATGTCAAACGAATATGCATCCTCGTTCATCCTGATGTTTTTTATGTGAAATCTACGTCTTTTAGTCTCAAAGCTACGTGTTGTGGTCTTTAATGACGTTTTGTGAAAAATCTCTACGTGATGGAGAAAAATGGATACCATTTTCGGATTCAGCGTACAGGAATTATTGTAGAACATGTAAAAATTTCAAGACAATAAATCCATCGCAGGCCTGTGTTATTAATCACGGTTAGTTCTTAGGACTCGTCAGTAATGGGAGGTTAGAATAGCTTATGAACTTCTTATTTTACTCATAATCAGAGGAAAATTATACTCATCTTAGGCCTACACCCTACCTTTAAGCTAAGTTAGTGTGTTTGTATTTACTTACGAGTAAATGCTGTGTATATAGTTACTTCAACCGTTAGTCTAAAGTGTTTTAGGTTTTTTTTGTTTTTTTTTATTCCTTCGCTAGATTTGAATGTATTCATTAAGAGTGTCTTGTTATTAATTGTATGAAAATTAACCCAGTTGTGCTCAGAATCGTACCGATAACACATACCTGTAAGAAGTGTACTCGGATGGTCATATATTATTACACGTGTGCCTAAGCCTATTCGGAACATCATAACTTAAGCCGTCCATTTTATAATTATATCCCCTGGTAGCCAATTTAGGTACTGTTTAAAACAATACTGAATTTACACGAATTGAAATAACGAGACAATAAGGTAACGACCTGGAAATATTATTATAGCAAAACACAAATACCGCATTCGTTTTATATTATGTGGATTTTCCTACAGATATTTTGGTATTTCATTTTATACAAATATTATACCGCTATATATATGTATACAATAAGGAATTTAACAAAGAATAAATTTTCCACATTCACGTGTAATGCATTTTCATATTGCATCACTTAAATCTTTCTCTATGTCGGTTTGTTAACGTTTTGTGAGAACAATAAACTGTATAAACAGATAAACTTTACTGGTCTTGCTCTGTACCTATAACAGTTTGTCCACGTCTTGTGAGAACAATAAACAGATAAACTTTACTGGTCTTGCTCTGTACCTAGGACAGTTTGTCCACGTCTTGTGAAAACAATAAACTGTATAAACAGATAAACTTTACTGGTCTTGCTCTGTACCTAGGATAGTTTGTCCACTTCTTGTGAGAACAATAAACAGATAAACTTTACTGGTCTTGCTCTGTACCTAGGACAGTTTGTCCACTTCTTGTGAGAACAATAAACAGATAAACTTTACTGGTCTTGCTCTGTACCTAGGACAGTTTGTCCACTTCTTGTGAGAACAATAAACTGTATAAACAGATAAACTTTACAGGTCTTGCTCTGTACCTAGGACAGTTTTTCCACACTTCTTGTGAGAACAATAAACTTGATGTGCCTAAGACATTTCTTTATATCCAATGCTGTTGAAAAATCATCAGGTCCATAACGGATCATGTCATCAGGTCCATAACGGATCATGTAATTAACCCTTAAGAGGTAAAGTTTGATAATTGAGTTGAACGTATTGAAGTACTTAGCTCAAGAAACTTTTGTCATTTGAGCACTCAACCCCAATCGATTGGTCTTGAAAACGATTTGGATATATCACACGTATATAGATTGAATCCCTAACGTTTTAATGTTCGTAGAGATATGCTAGCCTTGTTTCTATGGTAATGAGGGTGAAATCTTCTTACGTCGACCTGTGTTAGTATTGTAGATTGATATATAGTTAACACTGTGTTTATGTTATTCTATTCAACAATGTATTTCTAGTATGTGTGTGTGTGTGATACAATTATCTTTGTTTAATAATGATGTTGCTCATTTGGACCATCTGTGGGATAACATAAATAGAATAAAAAAAATGTTTTGAATTTACTATTAGTCCTTCTGTTATTTTACACCTCGGGTTTGTATATCAGTATAACAACTAGTTTTACTTGGAGTCCAGTAATATAATTACAGTCTTTTATATTACAAAATAAAATATTCTGTAAATAATCAGTACGATAATCTGGTATCATTACATCTCCATCCTGTACATTACAGAAACAAATAATCAGTACGATAATCTGGTATCATTACATCTCCATTCTGTTCATTACAGAAACAAATAATCAGTACGATAATCTGGTATCATTACATCTCCATTCTGTTCATTACAGAAACAAATAATCGGTACTATAATCTGGCATCATTAAATCTCCATTCTGTACATTACAGAAACAAATAATCAGTACGATAATCTGGTATCATTACATCTCCATTCTGTACATTACAGAAACAAATAATCAGTACGATAATCTGTCATCATTACATCTCCATCCTGTACATTACAGAAACAAATAATCAGTACGATAATCTGGCATCATTACATCTCCATCCTGTACATTACAGAACCAAATAACCACTTCTTCAAAACAATAAACATATAATTTTTATTTTATTGTTAATCAGAAAGATTATCAGGTTAACTTCACAATCACATGTTCACAACGCTAGAAGCTGGATTTACATACCCGTGGTGGGCAGAGCACAGATAGCCCATTGTGTAGCTTTTTGCTTACCTTCAAACAACAATATGTTAACAACGATTTAAAGTCGTCATTTGGAGTAAAAAAAAAAAAAAAGAGAGAGAGAGAGTTCAGAAATAATGGCTATATTTACTGCATTAGTTCTAGCTAAACGTTCAATCGGAGTTGTTATTTATTTAATAACTCTGTCGCCTTTATTTGGTACTACACCTTATTCGAGATTTCCAGAACAGTTTCAGACCGGGGGGGGGGACACCTGTATGTACACGAACAGGAAGTCAAATGTATTACAAAACTTGCATTGCTACATGCTGTATTTTTTACATGTAACTTTGCTTCGAAATTACAACACCGTTAAACTAAAGGAACATAAACTGTGGAGTCATTATCCAATCTTAATTTATGATAAATCCAGCATCGAGCGTTTGTGTCCAGCCATTACTAATGGAGTTTTAGTGGAGATTATTCAGACGATACACTTTTCAAAGTACAAAGGTTCGTTTTCTAGTATTCCTTGACACATTGCGATATTTTTTTAAAAATTCTAACATATCACAACCTTTACTTCTGCACTCCGAAGTCACGTGCAAGTGGCTGATGCGTAGAAAGTACGTACTCATCATTTCCGTGAAGTTTATTACGATGGATTGTTTGTTTGGAATTAAGCACAAAGCTACACAGTGGGCTATCTGAGCTCTGCTCACCACGGGTATCGAAACCCGGTTTATAGCGTCGTAAGTCCGCGAACATACCGTTGTGCCACTGGGGATTA